GATAGGCAGCGAAGATAGACTCCATGTTAAATAAGTCATGTAAACCAGAATATAAATAGTTTCTAATAGTTAACCTGTAGAAATTGGGTAAAAATAAAAACATGTAGTATCAAAGGATAGTATCACAGATTGACGGACCTCATTGGTGGCCGTGCACAGGATCTCGACGAGCACGTCTTCGTCCGTTCCCGCCCCCTTCATGGCCTTCCTCAGCTCCTTGGCAAAGTAAACATTAGGAGGCTCCAACATGGCTACGGTGGCCTTCTCAAAACTACCTGTCAGCTCCTTCTTAAGGACTTCCTCCAACTCCTGAACAGAAAAAGAAACAACTCCATTTACGTATATGTGTAAATAAATGTAGGAGCATGATAGAGGGAGTGTAAAGGTACTTACGTCATCATACTTCTCAAAGTAGGCCTGCTTGATCTCCACACGCTGAGCTGCAGAGCGATTGGCCAGGATCTGAACAATGACTTCTTCATCCGTCCCTGCAGATTATAAAGCAGTACATATCTTTTAGTAATCAGCCCATCGAATGGCCATTATCATTCATCATAGGGAGCATAGATTTAAAGTGGTATAACCCTACACTTCCTCCTAATTGGTTCTATGGGCTGTTATGTTTTATTGGTAGGCTGAATGAGCACAAGAAGGTTGGAATTAAACCATACACTCTAGCTTGTGTACTTCGCTCTTCATCGGCCAATCGAAAGGGCAACAAAAACACTCCCGTTTGTATCCCGGCTGTAAAATGGTGGAACAAGAACCCCATTGATAAAATGGAAAGCCAAAAGTTTACAGATCTTACTTCACAGAATGAAAATCCACCTGGATTGACTGCGAGTTGCCCAATAATTTATAAAAACTGCAGTACTTAGAAAGGTTTCATTTGGCTGAATGCACATATAGTCACTTGCTTCAGCTAAATGAGATGTGATACAATTATGGGAGCTTCACCATCAAGGCAGTATTTTACTATTATAAAACTTCTTAGAGCCTAACCTTTGAAGGCAGTTTCTATGTCTTGTCACCTAACCGTAGAAGTATATTATTAAAATGGCAGCAAGGCAGACATGTTTCTGGTAAAATCAGAAATACAGTTTTCTGCTTTGAAAATTATTATTCAAATATGTGTACTAAACGCTAATGTAAGGTAATTAAATACATACAATTTCTGCTTTTAATTTTAATTTGTATAATTGCTCATTTGATTTTGTTTTATCTGCTGGTTATATTTGTCTCGCTACAAGGAAAGTTGTAATACAAAAATAACTGATCAAATAAGAGGGAAGTATTGCTGATATTGATATAACAACACTGCTGGCCTTAAAATGTTCTTTGTGCTGTGTGGCACCAGTATGTTAACTTCTATCTTCAATTTATCTGAGAACTTTTCTGATTAATTCAATATATATTTGTGGATCCATTGTAAATGCACATTAAGTAATGGATGCAATAATCACACACAAATAGAGAAACCAAGAGACTAAACAAGAGAAACAACAAATTGCGCAGTTATTGAAGAAGAATGAGACTACACTATTCATACTTACCTAGACCTTTACAGGCTTTTCTGATAGCCTTGATATCAGCAGTGACATCAAAATCCTCATATGGGACAAGGGTGGGCTAGAACACAAAGTGATATGATCATTACAAAAAAAGAAGATACAAAACATAAATGAAAAGCAAACATATACAACTACACACACTGTTAGGAATGGATCATGTATCCTATAATTACTGACAGAGGTGGATAAGTACTCAGATCATGTACTTTAGTAAAAGTAGAAGTACCAGAGTCTAGGAATACTCTGTTACAAGTAAAAGTAAAAGTAGAAAAGTATTAACATCAACATATACTTAAAGTACCAAAAGTAACACTACACATTGTGCAGATTGGTCCATTTCAGAATAATATTTATTATATGTTTTGATTATAAATGTTGATGCATGTAATCAAAGCTAAAGGTTTGAATTACTTTGTATACTGCAGGGTAGATTGTGAATTTACTCCAGGTGGAAATAAAGTCTGATTTAATTGTTGATTACATTTCACATCATTTATCTAAATCTGCAAAGGAACAAGAGGTACAAAATAACTGTATTGGAGTAAAAGTACACCATTTACCTCTGAATTCTAGTAGAGTAAAAGTACAAAGTAGCATAAAATGGAAATACATGTATCTCAAAATTGTACTTAAGTAAATGTAATTCACAGCTCCGAGTACTGTATCTATACACTGCAAACTGATGTAAAATGTAAAATGAAATAACAAACAAGCTAGAATCCCAGTGAAGCATGATGACACAGTGAGGTTGTAAGGGATCATCACAGGGCCTGTTACAGTAGGCCGGTCTCCCGCAGGAAAAGGGTGCAGCAGCAGGCTGATCGCTGAGTCATGCGGCAGTCTGTGGGCAGCCTCCTCTCCTCACCCCCCTCCGTTAGCACAATGCAGCCTTATTGATCAGCCTTTCCGAGAAATGCCTCGTCCCTTTTTCTGCTGTTGCCCAGGCCTTACAGGACTCTCCCTTTGCTCAAATAAACTGCGCAACTTCTGCCACGCAGCTGTCAGAATGTGTTGTTTACATCTCCTGAAGTAAATAACACCCTTAGAATAATCTCCCGGACGCTGCATAAGTGATCATCACAGTAAACTAGATCGTTTCAAAGCTTTAAAAGTGGCTGATCCTCCATTTTACACTAGCCTAATAACAAATCTAATGTTGTTTTTAAAAGTTGGGAAATCCCGTTTTCTTACCTGCACGTTCCCCATTTTAATCCAAGATCGCGCTGTCAAAAGTGACTAAGTGATAAATTAGTGGAAAGCTGTGTTGTTGAGCGGCTTTGCAGTGGATGTGATGTGTCAGTCCGGTCGGTTGTTCGGTTGTTCCTGGAGGACGCCCTGTCCGGTGCTGCAGGGTGACGTCACTGCCGCTTGTTCATTTAGTGGGGGGAAGATAATTATTTGCAGCTTGAGAAACTGTGTGTCATCATAACAACATGTGGTCCTGGAGTTGTATCAGACATATTTGCTCTCGTTCATTATCTCTTCAGAAATGCTTTCATTCAGTGTTTAAACATCCATCCATCCATCTTCTCCTGCTTATCCGTGGTCGGGTCGCGGAGGAAGCAGTTCCAGCAGAGAGCCCCAAACGTTCCCTTCCCTGGCCACATCAACCAGCTTTGACTGGGGGAACCCAAGGCGCTCCCAGGCCAGCGAAGAGATATCATTCCTCCACCTGGTGCTAGGTCTAGCCCTTGTCTCTTCCCAGCTGGAAGCGCCTGGAACACCTCCCAGGGAGGCGCCCAGGCGTTTAAACATGACATAGCGATTTAATCGTGCATGTTTGTGATTTTTTATTTTTGCTGTTGTATTTGTTGTAAAGTTTTTTTTATTTTAAAGTGTTTATATTGCATGTACAGCACTTTGGCTCGACCAAAAATCGTTTTAAAAATGTGCTATATAAATAAAACTTGATTTGATTTGATTCTTTCCCTCCTGATCATGTGCTTTTTCCTGAGGTGGGTACCAATTCCAGATAGCTGTGTAATTGGCTGCTGAGCGTCAGATTGAATAATCATGTGTTGTGTGTTGCAGGTGCTTTCCTTACCCCTCATTACTTTGGCTGGCAATTTGGAGGGGCAAGCATTTTGGATTTGTTTTAGTTCAGGAGATTGTTACACACTGCATATTCTAAATTTAATTTCTATTGGTTTTGTTCATGTTGCTAGCTGTGGTTAGTGATGTGCAAAACTGAACCAACAAGTATTTTTGAACAAATATTTGAGTGTCCGTAATGAACCGGTTAAGCTTTTTATTCAACCTCCAAGTAGTCATGAATCCACTTTATATTATAATATCCAACAATTTAAGAAAACAAACCAATAGGTTGCATTTTAATAATCCAAACTCAAACAGGATAAGCATTGAAGAACGTTGTATGTTTTATTTTAGTGGGTGATACTTGCAGTGTCACTGTGAACCTGATAGCATATTATGCAAAGAAATATAAAAACTTAAAAGTTCTGAAAAGTTTGTTACATTTGCATATATCAACTCACAGGAACCGATACTGTGAAAATAGTCAGTTTGCACACCACTAAGTTTGATGCCATATTTATATAAATACCTCTAGTAAAGTGAAGCCTTTTTGGCTACATCTGACCTGGACTGGACCAACATGTTTTCGTTTTGCTTTTAGTGAGATGGATATCCGTTAAGTTTGGCTGTTGGTTAAAGAAAGATTTAATTTTCCTTTGAACACTGTAGCTCAATCTTAAATTAGTAGTAGAAGTAGTTGAGATCATAACTACTGAGTTACACAAATTGGTGTTATTGGTGGGCAAGGGGCATTACCCCTGGACCACTTTGTTTCCCACTTCGCGGCCCAAGTTGGGATCATAAAACGTAACGTGTGGTTAAGGTCGAAATTAGGGCTACGTTTGTAGATTGGTGTAGTCCAAGCAAGAGCATATAGGGAATTAGGAAGTCAGGACGGGCAGATAGCAGTATAAAGTACTCGTACAGATACTTGATTTAATAATCAGTGTATTGATTTTGCTAATGCCTGTGTTTAAATTGTAACAAAATCAGCTTATAGTCACCGAAAGAGTAGAAGGCCTTTGTCCTGAGAAAGGGCTACGGTCCATGATTGAATTAGCCTTGTCATGAGGTCAGCATTGTATAAATGATGATATAAGAGAAGACACTCTGAAAGTCCTTTAGAGGAGGACTTTGTGCGCCTTTTTCTATTCTGAATGTAGAGTTTGATTCATCACTTCAAGTCTGTCACTTTTAAGAAAACTAAAAACTCGATATTTTAATTATCCACATGATGGCAATGTTGCACAGAGAGCAAAGTACATGCCAAGTGAACTGAAAAAAACACAATACTGAACAGACCAAAGCAATGTCAACTGGTTTTTATAGAAAGATTTAATCCATGATTGAGAACAGGGTATTTACTGTATGTACATGCAACACAATAAGAATGTAAAATATAAGTACTCCTGTGTCGATGCTACACCATTTTGTAACTTTTTTGGAGTCACATCATATAGTATAACTAGCATAAAATACATTTAGTGGGCAAGTTACAACATTCCATTTCATACAGCCTAAAACCATCTGATAGAAAAAAACCCATGTGAGTGCAGGCTCATGTTTATTATTCATCAAGCCTTTTAATTTTACTTTATGAGCAAAAAAAACGGTTATTTTACACATTTTTCTTGATAAATACATGACAACATCTGACATCTATATTTGTAAATCCAATGTGCTCCTTAGTCCTCTTTAAGTATTACATAACAATGTTTTTTTTATGCCTTGTGGTGAATTTGAGTGTAACAATACTGCTGTATTTTCACTGTCATGCACAGACAGCTTCAGAAGAAGACTGCGTTGTGTGTGACTGCGTTTCATTATTTGTAGCTGGTGGGTGGATGATCGCGGGACAGAAAGGCGAACTGTTGTCGGAGATGATGTTAAAATAGTAAATGACTCATCTCCCGTTGGCAAGAAAGTGGCAAAAAATAGCTTTGGTCATGCATAGTCGTGGTTTAAGCAATTGAATATGTGCAAAGATTGGAAAGAAGGTGCATTCAGGCAGATGTTAAAATTGGCGACTAAGTGACAGTAATAATGCATTATTCACATCATCCACCCTCGTCGTGGTTTGGTTTGGTCCTTTAAAGACTCCATCACATTATTTTATACATGTGGAAATACTACCGCCTCCTTTAAAAGTGGCATCCAGGGCATGGATATCAAATAAACGGTAAATAACTATCAACATAAGGGAGAGGCTCATGGATATTTCATCACTGCGCAACTGTAACTGAAAGCCATTTGCAGTATGTATGTACATTATTGATGGCAATGCACATCATTTTGAAAGCATCAGGAACATAGGAGGAAAATACCATAAGCAACAACATCAAAAGTTCTCCGGTCATAGTTCAGTACAAGTTCTCAACTAAATTTTAATTTTTTACAGTTATTGGATGCTTTACGGTTTGCCGCATGCAATGGTTGTTAGGAAACAACAATACTGTATATCGAGCAACTGAAATATACATTTTTCCTCATTTAGAAATGAAGCTGAACTACAATCCCTTTTTATTCCCATGTTTCACTAATCAAACAGATCATTTTCGTTCCATGAATTATGCATTTGGCCTATAGCTAAGGCATCGCAGCTGTGTCTGGAGCTTTGGTCCTGCTTCACATATCCCATTTTATCCATAGGTCTTTTTTTCCCCTGTCGCCTGCTTGTTTCTTCATTAGCATCTGAGGCAGTGAGTCCCCACTGACATAGTGTGTAGTGTAGAATATCATCGGCGTAACAGATGAACTTCAATATTCGATAAGCCGATTATGTAAAGTTTTGGTGACAAATGATTGTCTGACCTGCTGGTATGTACAATTATGATTCAGGTTTAAATGACCTTGATGTGATAAAACGAACACAATGTAAGTTTGCAAGCAAAAGTGCAGACCAAAAAAGTGACTTCAAGGTTGCAATGAAACAACGAGATGTAATGCATTTAGCAAGTAGTTTGGATTATTTTTTCGCTTAGGTTAACTTATCGAATTTTCAATTGATATCATTCTGTTGCTTTTTCCTCTGTGTTGTCAGTCTATGAATAAAAAAAAAATACAATCATTTCCCCAGTCATCACACCATCCTCCCAGGATCTGGCTCCTGATAGTCCCATGGGCAAACATCCACCACCTTGGCCCCGACGATGACCGCGGGTTTGGTACTACTACTCGAAGAGCTCTCTTTCTTCTTCTCTGGTGATTTTCTAGTCTGAGCAAAGCTGCTGAGTGAGGGCTCGATCTCCCGTGAGAAACCCTCCCCCCTCCTGATCTCCATCATCTCTGGGTCCCTTGTAGAACTCCTCCGCCGCTCAGAAACCGGCCCTCCACACTCCGATGACTGGCTAACGCGTCTTCTCTCCGACGCCGGTTTGCTGGAGGAGCTCCGCCGTTCTCTGCTTTTCTCTCTTGCCTTTTCCTTCTCAGCTTTGTGGTTGGATGAGCAGGAGCCTTTCCGCTTCTTCTTGTGTGTGCTGGGGCTGTTGCAGGACTTCTCCTGCTTAGGTGAAGGTGGGCTGTTGTAGTCCCAAGGGCAGATCTCTACCATCAGGGTTGGAGGCTGCAAAAGGCTTCCTGTGGACTTGGAGTGGTCTGAGTGGAGTCCCTTGGGTTTCCCATCAGTGGGTGTGACGCTTTTCTTGCGTGAGATCCTGTCCGGGGAGAGGGAATCTGAATCTCCTCCCATTATGGGCTGCTCATTGAACTCCCAGGGACAGACGTCGGGCTTTAGAGGGAGAGGTGATCTTGGTGGTCGGGTTTTCCGGGTTTCCTTGCCTTCCTCCCTTTCTCCTCCTTTATCTTTGGAGCGTCTTCTGTTGGAAGGGGAATACCCTGCTTTCTGCCTCTGATTGGACCGGCTACCTTTGGTGATCCCAGAGCTGCTGCTGCTGCCTCTCCGGCCTGCAGTGGTCTCTGGAGCAATGGAAACATGTTTCTGGGTCTTAGCTTCAGTGGGAGTCTGAGCGTCTTCGGAATCCCAGGGACAAACCTCAGACACATCGTAGAGGTTCCGACCGGTCTCGGAGCAAATCGACGGCTGGCTGCCACTCACCTGTTAAAAGAAAATATTCAACAACTGCTGTTTTAATGAAAATATTGAAACATTTCCAAAAGTACAAGCTGTTCAAAAACTTAACCCAACACCCAATTGCTTGATTAAAACCTTTTTGTTCAAATAGTATTTTTTGAAGATTCATAAATAAAGAGTACCTGTTGTTTCATGATGCCCATCTTCAGGGGGGACTTGGAGTACTCCACTGACTGGCTGATGATCATCTTGGAGTAATGCTCAGGGGTCTCATCCACCTCAGACAACATCCTGTCCTCCTGCCCCTTCAGACCTTTCTTACTGGCATCCTCCACGCTTTGCGTCTTGTTGGTCAGCCCCGGCATCTTTTCCTTGGCACTGGCAATCACACTCAGAGACTTCTGCATGATGGAGGTCCGAAGGTGGAGCGGTTTCTTCTCGTGGGTCAAGTTGTGGACGCTGGCTGATTTCCAGCACAGTGGAACGGACTCTGTGGACTCGGCTGGTTCCAGTCTTGGTGGGGTCATGGACGGTTCCAGCTGCTTTTTAGTATGTTTCCGGCCAATCAGGGAACCCAGTAGAGATCCTTCCCCACCACCTCCCACAGGAGTAATTTTGTCTCCTGCTATCGAGCCAGTTTGGCTTACGGTTTCTTCATCCTGGTCACAAACATGGTCATAGCTGTGCGACTTCTTCAAGCCAATGACTTTGTTCTTCAGGGAACCATCCCGAGATTTGCCTGAGGGAAGGTTAACAATAAAATGGCATCAAGGTGCGCAGATTTAGTGATCATGTATGAAGAAAAGCCCTTAGAAACAAATGAGGAAAATATATTCTGGTGACCTTGTTCTATGTCTGACCTTAAAGGTTTTCTCTCTTGTGTTTTTGTTCACAGATGAAACAAAAAATATCTAGCAAGAGAAAGTATCTTGGCTAAACACAGAGGAAAAAAATAAAGACCGTCTTAGACCATTGATAGTATCTGTGTTTTGAACCATTGAAAAAAGAATTGCAAAAAATGTGTATTTAAAGGTCCCATGTCATGCTTTTCCGGTTATTACCCGTCCCCATGTGTGTTATGAAGGTTTTTATGCATGTAAACGGAGCCTCGCAGATGGGGCTGCTGCAGCCCCCTCAGCAACCCTCCCCCTTCCAGCGTCCATTCGCGCTGTCTCGCAGCAAGCAGGAAACCACACCAGTAAGCTAGCTCACACTGTCAGCTCCTCGCAGCAGCGAGCCAGTGGGCGAGCTGACAAATCAGAGCACACTGGGCTCACAGGGAGGGGGGGGGGCAGGAGCTCCAACAAGGCGTTTAGGACAGAGAGTGAAATTCAGTAAATACACATACAGAGATGCTGTATGAGAAAACCAATGTGAGTTTGGAAAATTGCACAATGTAAATCTATTCTAGTAGACCTCAACAATGGAATTATGATCAGTAGAAATGGCCATGACATGGGACCTTTAAGTTAAAAACCTTAAAAGTGAAATGTTATTCAGTATCTCTTCTACACTTTGGAAATATTCACAAAAATGAAGCACACACAATTGAACTTTACTGGTTTCTGGCTAAGCTCTCTTTAGTAGCTCAGTCCAGTAGCAAGGTTTAGGCAGCTTACAAACCCTAACCACTGGTATTTTGAACATACTGGTGTTCACAAGAAGACATGTTGACAGTAAGTAACCACAAGTGGAAATTAAACTACCAATAATGGCTGAATTAGATTTGTGTTGCTTCAGTTTCATGGAACGGATAAAATGTGTCTTACCGTGGTGACTTGGTTCGAATGGGTTTCTTCTCAAAGTGCTACGGTTGCTGCCGTGTTCGCTGCCATCCTCGCGACTGCACTGCCGATGTATGTGCATGGTCTCAGGGATCTCTGTTATCCGCTTCATCAGGGTGCGACCCAGACCTTTCTTGGAGTTGCGCTTCTTCTGGAGGTGAGGGTTGTTGGCGAGCATCTTCTTACATTTGTAGACTTCCAGCTGCGCATAAAGCTTTTTCAGCTCATCCTGAAAATGGGAAGGGACTGTAAATAATGGGCATCTTTGGAATAATTTCATTTCTACAGTTGGATTTATATTTTCATATTCAATTTCCAGGTATGAACAACAAAGGTACTTTACCCGTATATCCTCTGGGTCCAAGCTGTGCTCACTCCAGGCCGAGGTGATGCTGTTGTTGAGGTAAGAGCCAGACCTTCCCATGTCCAGCTCCTCCTCGTAAGCCTCGGTGGCAATATCATCCCTGGCCTGAGTCCCTTTGGACAGAAACTAAGACAGATGGAGAGCAGGGTTGAATAATGTCATCAGTGAGGCTGCTGGAAAGGTGTTACATTGGAAATAAGGTTTCTCAAATTGTATGACTCTGCCCTATAGGAAACCACTAATAAAATATAGTGTATACCAATATCTAAATGTTGGCTAAAGGGGTCATTGGAGGAGGGCTGAGTTGACCAAGGTTTTCCTGTAGCAAAATATTGACTGATATGGATGTTACATAATAAAAGTTACTTTCCTGCCCACATGGATTTAGTTGAACTTAAAGAGAACATGAACTGCAGAATATAGAACACAAACATGTGGGTAGTATCCGACATGCAGTGTAAGAAAAATAATCTGTTCTTTTGGAAATTATAGCATCTGGAAACGTTCTTGTTGAAACCAAAAATAATAGTAAGAGCCTGAAGATGAAAATAATAGGCCTCCTTTAACAAAAGTTGACCTCCATCTTGTTTACTGTTGGAGTCAACAAAGATGTTTCTTCTTAAGATCTGAACTCATTTTTAATAAAAGCTGAGATAATTATGTTGATTTAAAAATGTTCTTGCGTTTTTGTATTTAATCCAACGCACTTGCGAATTGAGTATTCAAATATTAAAATGTATTCAGCTCAGTTTTTGCAGGCACTAATATCATCATTACTTCAAAGTGGAAAAATGAGGTGAGGTTGCATTTTTTACAAACATTTAGAAGAGAGGAAAATCTATTTTCTCTGACTATTCATTGCCAAATCTTTCATCTGGATTAAACAACAAACCTGTCAATACAGAGTACCAAATAGTTAGCCCAGATTCAGGAACAGAAACTGTGAGATTAACATCCTCCCATTGTGCTTAATTATCCCAGCGTACTCAACTGACTTGCAGTTCTAAAGTGCCTAATTTAGAAAGAATGAAGGAACAGAGAGCGCTGATGGTGTGTGGCATTCCTTACACAGCAGGAGAATTAAATGTTTTCCATCAGACTTGAGAGATTGCACATAAAGACACCCGCGGGAGTGCTCAGCTAAATCTCAGTAACCACTAACGCAGTTGGAATGAGTTTAAGGTAATGGTACCAAATGTGCCTCTGTGCATCTGTGTGTGTTTCTAGATGGCTAATATCAAATGAACTTGAGATGATTAATGGACTGTTGTATACACAAGCTACATTATGGCCGTAGAGGAAAACTCTCTGTACACCAGTCACCAACCTCCATTACAATTTTTCAAATAATGCTCTTTTAAGAAAGAAAAGTTAGACTTCATGCATGCAGCGCTATTTAGTTATATCTGTCGGATTAATGTTGGGAGGTAAAAAGTACAATATGCACCTAAAGGTCTCCTATTCTGCTATTTTTAGGCGTATATTATGGGTCTCAGATATATATATATATATATAAAACATTATGTCTATTATGTGTTTTGCTCAAAATACCAAACAGATCATGCATTTTAGACATCCCTCATATCCCTCTGTTTCAGCCCTGTTAGAGAAGTGCTGATTCTAGGTCAGTAGCTGCTGGCCCCGCCCCCTTTGGAGTTTTTAGCGATTTGGGTATGGAGGAAAAGAGAGAGGGTTTTGTTGTCTGACACTTTGTGAGTTCCCTTACACACCGGGACACATATTTATGTATAAAATACATTAAAAAAGTGCATTTTACATGATAGGAGACCTTTAAGTAAAGTACATGTACATCAAACTTGTATTGCTTACTCAGTTACTTACCAACCACTGACTGACATTGTTACCTAATGTAACCCACTCAAATAATGCAGTGAGTTAATAACGCTTTTCACCCTGTAATAAACAGCAGCTCCCACTTGGGGCAGTGCTGGGGCAGCAGAGTCTGCATTTGAAGGATAGAGGAAGAGCAGAAAGTGTTGTATGAATGTTTAATAAAATGCCGGCTATGTTAATTTAATATTGTTCCTTCTATTTTTATTATCTTCCGCTCCTCATTGAAAGCAACCTTTTACATGGAAGTGTTACACTAATAACTGACACGGTTGACGGAGTGTTACCTTCGGCACGAGCAGCAATCCCAGAGTCACAGTCACAGTAAGATGAGTGTGAGTGAAAATCAACATGAGCATCCAGTCAGGGTGAAGCCCGGGCACCAGAGTGAACCTGCAGAAAAAACAAAAAAATGTTGAGCAGTGTACTTGGTTTGTCTGTTTTGTAAGCTCTGACAGAAAACACAGACCTTTAAATCAGCCTTAGAGCTTTATCCTCTCTCCTGGCAACCACACTGTCTGACTTGGTAAGGAATTCCACAAGCAACACCATCACAGGCAGAGGCGTAACTATCAACGGTGCAGCCGGTGCAACGCACCGGGGCCCAGAGCCGGCCAGGGGCCCATGCAAAAAAAGAAGTTTTTTTTGGGGCCCCAATGGCATTGACCGGTTCACGCAGTCTTCAAAGTAACCAAGCAACCTAAATTAATTTGTAATTTGTCTTTCCAATGACCTTGCTCCCTTTCATGACATGTGATACCTTGTGTGAAGAACGAACCGTTTAATCAACCTGTACTGTACTGTAGCTAGCAGCAGCAAGTTCGGCAGCATTATAAAAAATGTAATAGCTTGCATTTATAATGTAAAGCAAACCAAAGCACGAGAGCAGCGCTCAAAAGAGAAAGAACAAGGAGATGTAACGGCTAAACTGACAAAATTAGACCGTTTTTTTTGTCATACATCATCCTCGAAATCGAGCGTTAACGTTAGCAATGTTGATGTGCAGCAGCAGCAACTCAGGTCACAACGGAAAAAGCAGTCTCTTCTCTTGCCACCTAAAAAACGGACTACTCCCCCGTACCTCTACCCGGGAACTTAAGGACACCGCTGCAGTATGTTATAACGACCTAACGACTCCGACCACGTCCTCAACACAGACTAAAACCCCCCGTTGTTAGAGGCGCCATCACGACACACCCTGTCCACACGCGTGGCGGATCACCAACCAAAAGGTCCGGGCAACCGTAGACCCCTCGTTCTATCTGCGCCAAACGTTAAAGGTCACACACCGACAAAGGTCAAACACGACAAAAGTCAAACACAGACAAAGCGCCGTCGTGTCTCGACATCTACAGATGACTGGGGCGCGACAAATAAGCTCACACTCTTTTTCACCACAACTTGTCCACAAGACGTCCGACGGACTAGGGCGAAGCAGACACCAGTTTCCTCCTCCTTCTGTTCCTCTGTGAAGAAGCGAAGTATCTAGCGACCGTATATAAGCTCCTCCCAGGAACGAGGTTCGCACAAGTCGCTGCGGAAATAGGACACTAGCGTTCTACCTCTCTAATACGGGTATCAACACCATCCGTTTTACGTAGGCAGAAGCCTAGACTTCTTCCGGTAAGTCCCGTCTACAGTACTCGGACTTTTGTTTTTGCACTTCCGCCTCACTTTTGTTCAGTCATAACCCCTATACAAACCTCTTACGAAAAGACAAATCATAAGAGTTCCGCCCTTTTCCGGAACTGCGTTCCTGTTCTACTCCGAATTCCCTCGATAGCCTAGTCTTTGTACTGCTTCACTGATAAATAGTTTTTCTGTTGCACTTTTTTCAGGTATGACCTATGTGTGCTACCAGTTATAATGTGTGCCTCCTACAACCAAACAGCACTAGCGGTAACCCCGGGGGCAGAATTTCCCCACCCCCCCCTGACACTACGGGAAACCCAAGTAGATCTATCCCACACCGATACGACAGAACTAATGGAACTAACCGTCATTCGACTCCCGTGCGACCCAGACCACCCCGGGGGACCCGTCGATAAATTTCGGAGGGACGAGGGGAGACAGAAGGGAGGACGAGCTTTTCCGTGGACCAAACAACTCATACATACTCAAAGAAGTCAAACGGAAGGTGAAACACAGTGAAGTTGGTGAGAGTGTCGAGTATCGTACAGGTACAACGTTACGAAGTGGACGTAAATGTGGATGACTATGGTCGACTTTAGGTGTGGAGTACGAATGTAAACAAAACCGTGAATTTAATTAAACCGGGATTTAAACTTGAAGAAACGAAATATATTTGTAGAAAACAATTTGGCAGACTATACCAACAGACGGAGAAACAACACCGGAAAAACTTCGCGTCCAGTATTGTGGTGTTCTTATCGTCAAAATTTTCCCTCACTAAACATTTTATAGGTAATATTGCTTTTTTCATTTTAGACAAATGTCGATAGGTATCTTTCATTAGACATGTCATACAAAGAACACACACTCTCGACATAGGTATCTAGATGAAGTGCAAGCAGAGTATTCAACAACTCTCGTGGTCTAGAGAAGTACTACGAACTACATTGAAGTTATAATTTTTTAGAAGCGGCCCCCTCGTACGGGGGGTCTGGGAGGATCTCCTCCAATCCAGGTGGGGGGGTGGATTTTGTACAAGTGTACCTATTCCTATGATTTATGTAATCGTGGTCGAAAAATATACCACCGGATACTGGCGTTATACAAAGACAAAACCACCAAGCACGGTGGTTGGCACGTACATACGTGTTGTTCAGTATCCACGCGATCTTTTATCGTGATTTCGTGGGACGGTTACACACACTTTCTGTTATCTGGAAACATGTCGTACAAAAAGATTTAACTTCAACCACAAACAAACAACCAACAACTGCCCGTCACCCACACGGGGGCACCATTTACTAGACGGGGGAGGTAAGTTAAACAAGATCTCGCATCCTCCGCTAGGACGACCCGGGGGCGTCTCACAAGAACATCGCGGTTGACGAGTTTGGTCCTGTTGGGACACTATCGCCGGGCACAGTTAGTGTTACTTCGACGGTGGGATTTCGTATACGACACACAATAACAGGGCAAAATGAAATTTATTCCTGGTAATACATTGGTGTTTTGATTGTAGTCGTATGAAAGAACTTCTTACTGGATTTTAGGGATAGTAAACCCTGGTAATTGTGTAATCAATTTACAGAAGAGACGGCCTTATTTAGTTTTCTCTTTAGACTGTTAGCTCAATCAAAACGTAGGTCACCTCTACGACCGACAAATTTATAACGTCCGAAAACCCTTTGTAGGCGAAACCGATGTAAAAAAAATCTGGTCCTCCAACGTCGAAACAAGCAAATGTAAGTTTTATATTACATATTTTGACAGTTATAAGAGTTTGTTCTCCGATTTTACGACCTACCAGTCTGATTGAACATTGATAATTTACTTTATTTATCGAAATTTCCAAAGAAGTCCACTAAGCCACACGGTTGCACACACTTACAGAGTGTAATTCCGGAAACTAGTCACCGCATTGTTCCAACACTAACCGGGGTCACGTTTATAACGAACCCCAGCGTGGGTAGCGGGGTTTTGTATTCGCGTGCGACTAGCACCCGAGTGTGTGCGTGCCTTTTGTGTTTGGTGAGTCTTCGCCGGTGTACATACTCCCGGTAGTTGTTGTCGGACCGGACCCGGAGTCTGTTGGTGTCCGACTGTTGCTGTGTCGTTTGATTCTTCTCCTAATTTTGGTGGACAAAGGAACTCAAAACAGAGACCCCTACCCGGCCATTCCGGATGTATCTTGGCCAACGAAATTATATGAAAACTAGAACCGCAGCCCCCAGAGTTATGTCCGGTATTTCAGGGACATAGCCCTAACCCCGGGACCCCCCTTGACAACCTGGGTGGCCCGGCCCGTGTCGGTTTAGGTCGGAGAGGAGTGACCGACCGACCACTTTCTTCCAACGTGTCGGTGCCTATGTCGAAGGTGAACACCTCGATCTACCGTTACTACCACCATCCGTCCCCTCGATAGCAATCGAGTACCGACGG